CAAAACACCTGGTGCTGATTCTATTCCACCTGAGATTTACAAGGTAGGGGGTCCATTGCTCATACAAAAGCTAACTGAAATTTTCCAGGTTATATGGCAAAAGGATTTTATCCCCCAGGAGTTCAAGGATGCCTCCATTGTCCATTTCTATAAAAGTAAAGGAAATAGATTGTCCTGTGACAATCACAGGAGGGTTTCTCTCTTAGTCATTGCTGGCAAGATTCTTGCCTGAGTCCTCCTTAATAGGTTGATCCTTCACCTGGAAGATGGTCATCTACCTGAGAGCCAGTATGGCTTCACAAAGGGCCAAGGAATGGTTGATATGGCATTTGCTGCCTGACAACTCCAGGAGAAATGCCAAGAGCAGAACAGAGGTCTGTACACAACATTTATAGATCTGACCAAAGCCTTTGATATTGTCATCATAAGGACTTATGGAAAATTATGTCAAAATTTGGTTACTGAAGAAGTTCATTAGGATTGTATGTCAATTTCATGATGGCATGCTTGCCCTGGTTCTGGATAATGGACAATACTCTTGTGCTTTCCCAGTCACCAATGGAGTGAAACAAGGTTGTGTGCTTGCTTCCATGCTTTTTAGCATGATGCTTTCAGTCATGTTGTCAAATGCTTCCAATGAGAATGAACATGGCATCAAAGTCAGCTACCTCACTGATGGTAAATTCTTCAACTTGAAGAGGCTACAAGCCAGGACCAAAGTGGAGGGAGTGATGATCATGATTTTCTGCTTGCAGATGATTGTGCACTCTATGCAGCCTCTGAAGCTAAGATGCAACAAAGTATGGATCGATTCTCTGCTGCTTGTGCTAATTTTGGTCTAACAATTAACTCCAAGAAAACACCGATGCTCCATCAGCCACCACCACACCATCCATACATGGAACCATTGCTTACAGCAAATGTAGAAGTTTTGAATGCTGTGGATAAGTTAACTTACCTTGGTAGTGTACTTTCCAGGGATGCACACATTGATAATGAGGTTGACTCACACATTGCCAGAGCTCCTTAGAAGGAAAGTATGAAAGAGAAGAGGTTGATACCTCTTCTCTGACTACCAAACTGAAGGTCTACAGAGCCACTGTGCTGACCTCATTTTTGTATGCCTATGAAACCTGGATAGTATACCAGCATGATGCCAAGAAACTGAATTGCTTCTATTTGAATTGTCTTAGGAAGATGCTGAAGATCACCTGGTAGGATAAGATACCAGACACTGAGGTTCTTTCTCAAACTAAACTGCCAAGCATTCAAACTCTGCTTCAGAGAGCACAACTCTGATGGGTTGGCCATGTTGTTCAAATGAAAAATTTACGCATGCCCAAAAGTCTGTTTTATGGAGAACTCACAAAGGGCAATCATTCACATAATGGTCAGAAGAAGCAATAAAAGGACACTCTCAAGGTCTCTCTTAAGAACTTTGGAATTGATTGTGTGACATGGGAGACAATGACACAGGACCACTCAGCATGGCATGACCACATCAAAGAAGGTGCTGTGCTCTATGAGAAAAGCAGAATTGAAATTGAAACAAAACAAAACAAAACAAAACAAAAACAAAAAACAAAAATACAAGATGCACAAGTTTAGAGAATCCACCCCAAATGTTCACATAGGCTATCTGTGCCTGACCTATGGTAGAGCATTTTGAGTTTGTATTGATCTGATCAGCCATAGTCAGACACACTAAAACTTGACCTTAGCATAGTGATATCATTTTGGTTCTCTTTGAGAATGAAGGACAACAACCAACCAATAGATCAGCAGAAAAAAGAGCAAAAGGTGCTTAACATAATACCGTAATCTGGTTGTTGCAATGTCTACAAACATTAATTTAAGTATTAGGGATCTTAATGTGCACTCTAACCAATGTTCAACAAGAAGACACACTGCTTGGAAGAACTGAATCGTACGCATATTGACAGAGAGCAGAAAGGAGGCCACTGATGGGACCAAGGCTCTCAGAAAAAAAAGAAGTTTTGGCTCAGCTCACATTTTTTCCTAGGGTTGTGCCCATTTATCTTCATTGATGAATGGACTAAACTGTAGCTCTACATGTGAAGGTACTTTTGTGCTATACAACTACTGCCCCCATTACTCTGATTTGTGAAGGTGAAAAAGATGCAGTTAATTTCATCATGATTTATAGAAATTTCATTCATTGAGTTCATAGAGTTTAGGACTGGAAGGGACATTAGAGGTTAGTTAGTCCAACTTTATTTTATAGGTAAGGAAAGTGAAGACCAAAGAATTGATTTGCCTCAAGTCATTCAATAAGGCAGAGTCAGGATTCAGATCCAGGTCCTATGCCTTCCCTCAAATCCCCCTTACTAGCAGTCTTGAAGCAAAGACTTGATGTCAATATTGAGGGTATCCTATGGAGGATTTTTTGTTCAAATATGGGTTGCATTAGGTGTCCATTGCATTCTTTTCTGACTCTAAATCCAGGATTCTTTGCATTAAACCAGGGGTGGGGAACCTTCAGGTCAGAGTCCACATGTAGCCCTCTAGGTCCTCAAGTATGGTCTTTTGAATGCAATCAAAGGCCATATTTGGCCTCCAGGCCACAGGTTCCCCAGCCTGCATTAAACCATAGAGTCACAAATCAAGAAGGTTTCACTGTATTTGATTCCTTCCATGAATAGGAAAGGTTGAGTTGCTTCCTGAAGGTGTTATTAGCTAGAGTAAGCAACATACTTAGAAAAACTTCTTACATAAAAATATATCCCCCATAAATTCTGTCAGAACTAGGGATTAGGTGGTGGTGCCAATATGTGCCCAAAACACAAAAGGCTGAGGTAGGAGTCTAGGTAGAGGTTAGGAAGTCTAGAAATTGAGACATCAGAAGAAGGCAAGGGTGTGGACATGTATCAGACCAAACTGGGAAAGCAATTTTGCTGAAAGAGATATCAGCTCCCTCTTTCCCTTTCTTTCCTCACTTTCCTTCATCCATCCAAGTTGTGATTCAATCATTAGGCTCAATTTACCACCTGCCGATGCAAGTTTGTTGAAGACCACACTGCCAGAACATTCTGTTGCAAAAATGTTTTAACTGCTACCTTGTGACTAGTAAATTCTATAAGGTCTTCCTTAGCTGAGTTAGCCGAATTCTGCTTGCTCTGCTTTCTTCCTCCTAAATATATTACACTCCTCCAATTTAGCCTCCAACATCCAATTTTCTGTTTCCTTAATCCCTTTTACCCAGAATTACTGCCCTAAGCACAAAGTCCTTTCAAACTCTCATATTAGTCTAGCTCAATCTCTTTCTCCCCAGGCTCACTCTATCACCATCTACCCTTATACTAGTCACATCCATTGTGACCTTTGGAACTTCCATTTTGTTGTGAACAAGATGTTCTATGTCTTTGGGGAAAAAAAAAACCTTTTCATTAAGCTCTCTCTTTATGCTTTCTTGAAATAATTGAAAGCTGGTTTCCACTACTTCTCTTGTGATTCTCTACAGTGAATCATTCTTCTCTATTCTTCTTGAAATCCCAGGCTACATGAATACATTTTGCTTTCTTTTAGATGCCTCTTTTGGACCAATGTTTATTTCTATGAAAGAAAGGTAGGAGCACTAGACCTCTGAGCATGGAGTTATTAATCAGTCATTTCTGGCCTCAGACACTTACTAGCTGTGTGACCCTGTGCAATCATTTGACTTCTGTCTGCCTCAGTTTCCTCATCTGTAAAATGGGGATAATACTAGCACTCACCTCCCTGGATTGTTGTGTGGATAAATGAAATAATATTTTTTTTTGCCTTTTTTTTGGTGAGGCAATCAGGGTTAAGTGACTTCCCCAGGGTCATACAGCTAGTAAGTGTCATGTGTCTGAGGCTGGATTTGAACACAGGTCCTCCTGATTCCAAGGCCAGAGCTCTATCTCCTGTGCCACCTAGCTGCCCCAAAATGAGATAATATAAAGGGCTTTGCAAATTTTGAAATGTCTTATAAATGCTACCTGCTATTTATTATTATTATCAATTATTTATCCTCATCTATTATGTGTACCATCTGAAACTGAGGGTATTCTGAGGTAATTGCCAAGCTTCCTGTTCTTCTGTAGGGTTCTTAGACAAGTTGGATACCATTTAAACCTTAGCTCTACCCCTTTGAAAATAATGTCTACATTCTCACCTTTATCTAGGCCAGGTTTGGTTTGTATTATCAAATAAAGTCTCATGTCTCAGGCCCTCATTCCACTGACTCTCTTCATGCTGTACTTATTGCACATCATTAGAGGTCAATTGAATGAATACTAAAAAAAAACCAAAACCCAAAAAACAAAAAAAATCTTAAACAGAAATCTAGGTAAGTTGATATAAAAGTATAATCTTCCCAGTCTGTGATACTTCTAATCAATCCCCTTGTATGTAGGGCAACCCCCCAGAAGTTCAGTTCTCACTCTCAGCTAGGAATGGATAAGGGCATTTACCCAGAGATAGTCACTTAACTTCACTTATCTCCTTCCCTCCTACTCCTGGCATTCACCCCAAAGTGGACTGACTTTTTAGTGATACTGTAGTAAAGTTAGAGCACTCTGCAGAGTGCCCTCTCTCTCCTCCTTCCTTCCCTCCTTCCTTCCTTCCTTCTTTCCTTCCTTTTCTTTTTCTTCATTTTTTCTTTCTCTTTCCCTCTCTAAATTTTCTTTTTATTTAATTATGAATTTGACAAACATAAAAACCTTGAACATTCCTTAAACAAGAAGACAAAAAAAAGAATGGCATATAAACTATGAATTTCTATTCCATATAGATGCTTTCTTCTTTTAAAAGTACCTGTAAATTTTAACATGCTAATGCCAATACTGCTCTGATTATCTCTGTCCTTTTCTGGTTTTCCTTTTGCTTTCTGTATATTTTTAAAATGTTTCATTAATTTCCTTTTTTATTTTTTTCTGAATATCTATCACTACTATCTCCCCTACTTCTTTCCCCAATAACTCACCCTATCCTTACCTCCTCCCAAATAAAATCTTTTAAAAAATATATAGTACTCCACAAATTTATGTGTCATCATTGTGTAGGTACTGTGTTAATCTCTGTATTGTTCCCATTTTAGTATATGTATTGTTGGAATGAACTGTTAGTCTCTCTTGAAGGTAGCCAGAGCTGTGCAGACAGAAGGGTATATGGGGTTTGCCATGCTCCCAGTTGACTCCCAATTCTTTCCCTCCTGAATATGTTTAGCTCCCTGTTAGCTGAATACATTTAATTGTATCTCCATCTCTTTAATAATGGGCAAGTCTGATGGGGTTTCCCTTCAACATTAAGATCTAGGTTTCAGGGCTTAAACTTCTGCCTTTCTTCCAGGGCCCTCTCTAGAGGCCATTCCCAGGCCAGATGCACCTCAAATTGCTAGTTCCTGCATTCGGTACTGTCTCCTCTGGTTGTAGCTTTTCCTCTTCTTGCTAATCTCTCAGACCAATACCACCAATCTCAGGACTCAATACCACCATCTACCACAAGGTTGGACACTGAAGGAGGGCCCTCAAGAATCTAATCACCTCCCTCTCTCAGTGGACTTTTTTTCCAGTTACTAATAATCTGCCTAAACTCATTCCTGGTTAGCAGTCTCCCACCCTGTCATGCTCTCTCCTTTCCAGTGAATCCGAATCCCTGCCTGTCATCATATAAATAGTCTCTGTTCCCAACTGCCCACTCCCTTAGCTTCATCTTCCTCAACCTACCCCTAATATCTGACTCTAATTCTACCCAGTCTTTCAACTGTGCTCTTCAGAAAGCCTGCTCCATAGTTAAGAAACTTGCTTGTATTTTAGACCCTCTTCTTTTTTGCTCCTCTTTCTTCTTGCATTCACTGAGACTTGCTTCTCTCTTGATGACATTGATCCTTGTCCAACATTTCTAGCACTGCTTACACTTTCACTCATTCCCTCTGACTCACTGGTCAAGTTGGGGGAGTTGGAATACTCCTTGTTCTCCATTGTCACTTCCAAACTCTTTCTCTACTATCATTGCTTAATAACTTCTCTACCTTTGAGGTTCATTTAATCCATATTTATCACCCAATCAAGATTCTGGTAGCTATTAACTCCCAAACTCCAGGATATACTCTTTCCTTCCTCACTGATTTCATTGTCAGGCTAATAGTCTCTCCTTTTTCTCATGCTAGGTGAATTCAACATACATATTGACACTCCCTCACACACTCTAACTTCCCATTTCCTCAGTCAACTCATTTCCCATGACGTACTACTCTGAGGAAGGGCATTAGAATTAACAGGGATTGGGAAAGGTTTCTTATAAAAGATGGAATTTTAGTTGGGACTTAAAGGAATCCAGGGAAGCCAGGAGGCAGAGATGAAGAAGGAGAGCATTCCAGGCATGGGGAAGAACCAGAGAAAATGGCTAGAGTTGAGAGATGGAGTGTCTTGGTCTTGTGATAGCCAGGAGGCCAGTGTTATTGGATAGAAGAGGATGTAGTAAGGAATAAGGTGTGAGATTAGAAAGGTAGAAGGGAGTTACATTATGAAAGGCTTTCAACAGAGTGTTTTGGTTTTGATTCTGGAAGTGATAGGGAGCCATTGGTTTACCAAATAGTGGCTGAATAGAGGACAAATTGGGGCGGAGGAGAGACTTGAGGCAGGATGACTCACCATCAGGCTACTGCAATAGTCTACATTAGAGGTGGTGAGGGCCTGTGCTTGAGTGGTAGCAGTGTCAGAGTAGAGGAGGGGACATATTTGAGAGATGTTTCAAAGGTAAAATCAAAAGATTTTGGCAACAGCTTCAATATGGGAAGTGAGAGATAATGAGCAGTGAAGGATGACTTCTTGGTTTTGAGCCTGAGGGACTAGGAAGTCAAATGATCTGCCCAGGGTCAAACAGCTAGTAATTGTCTGAGATAGGATTTGTACTTAGTTCTTTCCGACCCCTATGTCCCATGCTCTATTTACTGTACCATCTAGCTGACTAACATAAGTAACACAGTCATTCATACAGCAATAAGCAGTATGCTATCACTGAGAGAACGCTGGATTTAGAAATGGGAAGACCTGGGCTCAAATCCCACTTTAGAGACTGCCTTATTTGACCTCATTGCTCAGGTTAGAACAAAAACCTAGGTTTAAGGATTTACAGAATATTTGTAATCAGGAAGCTAGTATAAGCATGAGCTTTATTAGTATGTGGCATAGCAAGCTGGCAAAACAAAAATATACATACACATACTATATGGCAATAGAGACAGACATTCAGCCACACATACACAAGGTCAGGATTACTCACATGGAGCAGGGAAACATGTGCCATGACAAAGACATAAGAAAGGGTACACACTCAGAGTGGGGTCTGAGTAGGGAATTTTTAAGCCTTAACAATGGGCTTGGTTAAGAACAGGCAATCAATGTTAGATATGGGAAGGGGCATTTCTAATCAGATCCAGATGTCATGGGCAAATTCCCTGGGTCACTTATTGATAATAGATTTGGGGGAGGAGGGAGTTTCATGATCAGGAACAGAAATTCAATGAGATTACATTGGTAATAGGGTCCCAAAAATGATGTTAGCAGGTAGCTGCTTCAATCTGCTTGGTGCCTTTTCCAATCAGGAACATCATGGACATGGATCATGGACATGTTTGACACAGGGTCAGAATGAGTCACAACTATGGAAAGCCACTGGCTGGCTGTCATTGCTTATATGTTTATTTAGGACCACTTATCCCAAGTGACTCCATGTTGGAGTCCTATCATTTATAACTACAACATCAAACAATGTATTTAAAAAATCATAATTATCATAGACTTGCTGGCTGTATAACTCTGGGATCTTAACCTGTTTGCCTCAGTTTCCTCACCTGTAAAATGAATTGGATAAGGAAATGGTGAACCATTCCAGTTTCTTTGCCAAGAAAACCCCAAATGGGGTCACAAAGAGTTGGACACAACTGAAACAACTGAACAACAACAGTTTGATGTAATAAAGGGGAAAGAGGCAAAGATAGCCCTGAAACTTTTTTTGAACATGGTTGGAACTTTGATAGAAACATGATAATCAGAAGGTAGAGTTAGTTTAAAAACTCTTCTAAAAGACATGATTTATTTAAAACATGTTTCCATCATAGCCCAGCATAGTGGACAAAAAACTGGCCTTGGAGCCAGGAAGACTTGAGTAAATTCCCACATCTGACACATATCAGCTGTGTAACCCTGGCCAAATCATCTAACTTCTCAGAGCTTTAGGTAACTCTTCAAGATTCTAAGCTGCAGGGAAGCCGTATTGGTAAAGGGTGTTTCCTCATTACCACCTCCCTGTATCAGTGAAATACCAGGTACTTATCCCTCTTCCAGTGTTTCCATTGATGGTATTGAGTCAGACCAATGCTTAAAGCCTTCTATCATCTTTGATTTCTACCCTTCCATACTATCCTGAATAAATAGGTAATTATTATATATCAACTTATATATAGTTGATAGTTATTGTATATCAACTTATATATTGGATCAATAGTTTGCATTATCCCTGTGACAGGCAGGGTGGTATAGTGGATAGAGACCTCCATTCAAATCCAACATCTTAGAACATAATGTTTGTGTGTCCCTGGGTCAATCACTAGGCTTTCCAGCTCTCTATGAAACTCTCCAAGACTCTTTAAGAGGTACATCAAGTGTTTATCTGCATAAGTAGGGGAAATTTCCTATCCAGAAAGGCCCTGCAACAATGAAATATGTATCTACTCAACTCTAGGCCAGGCCTCATGCTCCATCAACCCATCCCCTTCAGTCATCTTCTTACCAGCTGAAGAACCAGGGAACTACCATCAGGCTAATTTTCCGTTCAGTCATTTTCAGTCACATTCAATTCTTTGTGACCCCGTTTGGGGTTTTCTTCTCAAAGATACTGGAGTGGTTTGCCATTTTCCTTCTCTAGCTCATTTTACAGATGAGGAAACTGAGGCCAACAGGGTTAAGGATCTTCTTGACCAGTCACACAGCTAGTAAGTGGCTGAGGTCAGATTTGAACTCAGTCTTCATGACTCCAGGTCTAGTGCTCTATCCACTATGTCACCTAGCTGCTCTACTAGATTAATATCAGAATTTTAAAGTAATCACCTGCTGATGTTGAGATTTTTGTGGTGAAGCTTAGCCTGAAGATGGTGGTTAAGGTGGTTAAAAGTGACAGGAAAGACTGGACTACAAGGAAAGACAGATTTTATTCCCATGTAGACTGGGTAAAGGAAATGTGGGAGAATTTCTCTTTCAAAATGCAAATAACCTGAGGAAGGCCCAACTATATTCATATATTAGTATGAATTATTTTAATATAAAAATCAAGTCAACATCTAGCTAAAGTAAAAATCACTTGGAAAATGGAAGTTCTTTGGCGGGGCAGGGATAATGGAAGGGATAATTTGCAGGAGAAGGCAGACCTGAATGGAATGAGGGAACTTAGAGGGCAAGCTTGAGATTTTCCAGAGGGCAGTAGTTGGTATCTAGGGCCACTGTCAGAGGCATAAGGTGGAAAGGGGGATTCAGAAAAGGAGAGAGTCAATTAAAACAAACTGCCTAATTCAATTTAAACTCAACTGGCATGCCACTAAATTAATGGGTTCTTGATATTTGGATGAAGGTCAAAGAACTAATTTGGAAGGATAAAAACTTCAGTTTTCCTATATTTGCTCCAGCCTCTCCAGAGCAGGTCAATCTGCTTCAGTCTCTCCAGCTGACCAGAATGTTTTCCTAACCCTTCCTCACTGAAGAGAAAAATGGAGAGATATGTGCATGTTCTTCCATCCCTCATCTCCAACTCTTTCCTTTCCTTTCTTTCCTTTCCCTCATTATTAATAGTATGGTACCATATTCATGGAATTTCCCTATCCACGGGGGCATTAAATATGTACCTCCCAAGAAAAGGAAGTTAATGGAGAATGCAGTAATTTGGCACTTTGAAATGTAGTCAGCGATAAAAATGATGATGATGATGATGATGATAATAATAATAATAAATAGGATTTATATAGCATCTTAAAGTTCTCAGAATGCTTTACCAATACCTCATTTTATTCTCACAACAACCCTGGGAGGTTGGTGCTATTATTATATTCATTTTACAGATAAGGAAA